TCACGGATTGGACTGCTGTGTGCATGCCTCCCATGTGATCCCGTAGCTGATTGGATAGAAGACACATGCCCTTCACATGATCAGCTCGCGGATTGGACTGCTGTGTGCATGGACTCTATAGTGCTTTTGATTGGTTGCTGCGGGTATATAAACCGTGTGGCTTTGTGCTGGGGGCGCTCTCTGGACTCCCGAGTTCAGGAGGCCATCTGCGCAGACGCAGAATAAATCCTCTTGCTTTTGCATCAGCTGGTCTGGAGTCTGAGTCTTTGGGGTGTGCCTCTCGACGTGTTAGCATCCTCACTCCGAGGGTCTAACAACATATGACAAAACTGTCCTTCAGAAATGAAGAATAGGGGTTGGCATTACTGCACAGTGGGTTACGCTGTTGTCTGCAATGCCAGCATCTTATATGAGTGTTAGTTAAGTCACAACTGCTCAACTTCTGATCCAGTTCCCTGCTAATGTGTCTGGGAAGGCAGTGAAAGATGACAGCACAAGTACTTGATTTCCTATCATCCACATGGGAGACCAAGATTGAGTTCATTAGCTCCTGACTTCAGCCCTGGCCATTGTGGCCATTTTGGGGTGTGTACCAGCAGATGGAAGATGTCTTCCTCTCTCTATCTCTCCCCCTTATCTCTAACTCTGCCTCTCAAATAAATAAATAGATCTTTTTAAAAAAAGATATGAAGGATAAATTAGGATAGCCCCAGATAAACAACTTTAAACATTGCATGGGAAGTTATAGCTAGAGCAATTATGCAAAAAAATTGAAATCAACGTGATTTTTTTCATAATATTCATTGATATGAACTTCTTGAAGACCTCTTGTACGCATGGATCTCAAAATATTTTTGCACCAAAAATGAATTTACATTTTAATTCTATTTTCTATGAATATTTTAAAGTACTCTCATACAGATGGCCAATAGACACATGAACTATGTTCACCATCACTACTAGGGAAATGCAAATAAAATACCACTTAACACTATGTGGGTACTATAAAAAACATAAAATAACAAATGTTAATAAGGAGTTGGAGAAGTTAGAACCTTTGTTCACTTCTGGTGGAAATGTAAAATGATGCTGGCATTGTCAAAAATAATATGACATTCCTCAAAAATTTAAATGTATGTAATTTAGCAATTCCACTTCTGGGTATAAACCCAAAATAACAGAAAGTGAGATTCAAACAGATATTTGAATGTTTATATTCATAGCATCATTATTTACAATAGCCAAAAAGTAGAAGTAACCCAACTATCAACAGATGAATGAACTAAATATGGTATATACATATAATAAAATATTCAGTTAGAAAAATTAAAGAAATTTTGACACACTGTACAACATGGATGAACCTTGAAGACATGCTAAGTAAAATAAGCCAGTCATAAAAAGGTATATTTTACTATTCTACTTATATGAGGTGCCTAGAATAGTCAAATTCATAGACACAGGAAGTATAATATGGTTTCCAGGGGCTAGGATGAAGAGATGGAAAGTTAGTATTTAGTGAGTATGGAGATTCATTCTGGGACCAAAAAAGAAAGTTCTGGAAATGGATGATAATGAGGGATACACAACAATGTGAATATATTTAATGTCCCTAATTGTACACTTGCAATAATGATTAAAATGGTAAATGTTAAGTTCTATGTATTTTATCACAATAAAAATTTCAAACAAAATTCATCTTAAGCGCTTTGTGAGAATCAAATGACATCTATGGAGAAAAGCCTTGGGTTCTATACAACCCTTCAGAAATATTATCTGTTCTTAGTTATTATCACTACATTTCCCCTGATACTATTATCCACATGGTCTACCCAGAAGCAAACTGTTGGAGTTTGAGTGCTTTCCAGTGATACCCAGTTTCTTTTTGCTAAACCCTGGATGCCAGGTGCTAGGCAACAATATGCCAAAGTTTTGGTTCTGAAATAGAACAAGCCCACAAAAGAGACAGCTTTTAGAGCAGGCTGGTAGAAGCTAGGTAAAAAAAAAAAAAAAAAAAAAAAAAAAAAAAAAAAAAAAAAAAAAAATTGAAGACCAACTCTTCTTACTCAGTTTTTTTCACAATGCTTGAAAGTAGTCCTCACACCATAACTAAAGGTCAGGATGCCATTGCCAAGAATAGGGCAAATCTTCTTCCAATTCAGTTGACAACATACCCCTCTGGCTTTCTACCAAGCAATGCACTTCATAATATACAGCCTTTGAGCAGGTGAATAACCACGAGCCTTCTTTAAAGGAACAGCATTCTGGGAAAGGAATAAAAAAAAATACAGAGCATGCAGTAAGAACAAAATGAGTGATCTAAGAGATAAAAAATGAAAACACTAACATCAAAAGATAAAGAATAGGAATTTAGCACAATGCACAATGTTAAGATGACACTTGGGATGTTGCAACCCTGGGTTTGAATCCTAGCTCTGATTCTGATTCCAGCTTCCTGCTAATGTGCACCTTGGAAGGTAGCAAGTGATGATTCAAGTACTTAGGCCCCTGCCATCTACATGAAAAACCTGAATTGACTTCTAGGTTCCTGGCTTCAAGCTGGCCCAGCACCAGCTATTGAAGGCATTTGGGGAGTGAACCAGCACTTTATTTAACTTTGTTTTCTTTGTTTATCTCTCTCTTCCACCCTCCCTCCCTCCCCCTTTCAAATAAAATTAAAATTTAACAAAAGACCAGAATAACCAGTTTTGATGGACTTGGCAACTATTAGTAGAGTAGCCTCAGGACTTAACTCTCAAATATTCCCAGAAAGTACAAATGCTGCTGCAGAACCAGTCTGATAATACAACAGTACAGAGTTTAGGATTGATGGTTCTTTTTCTTAAAAAAAAAATTATTTATTTGAAAAACAGAGACACACAGAGTTCTCATCCACTGGTTCACTCCCCAAATACCCACAACATCCAGGGCTGTGTCAGACCAATGATGGGAACTGGGAACCCGATGCAGATCTCCCATGTGAGTGGAAGACACCCAGCTGCTTGAGACATCACCTGCTGCTTCCCAGGGAGTACGTTAACAGGAAGGTGGAATCAGGAATGGAACTGAGACTTGAACTCAGACACTCCAATATAGGATGCAGGCATGAAAGGTGAAGTCTTAAGCCAAATGCCTATCCCATGAATGTTTCTTTCTTTAAGCCAGTTGATGGGGCTGGCATTGTGGCGTGGCATATAAAGCCGCTGCCTGCAGTGCCAGTGTCCCATATGGGCACCAGTTCAAGTCCCAGCTGCTCCACTTCCAATCCAGCTCTCTGCTATGGCCTGGGAAAGCAGAAGATGGCCCAAGTGCTTGGGCCCCTGCACCAGTGTGGGATGCCCAGAGGAAGATTCTGGCTCCTGGCTTCAGATTGTCTCAGCTCCAGCCATTGCAGCCAATTGGGGAGTGAACCAGAGGAGAGATCCATCTTCCATCTGCTGGTTCACTCCTAGGATGGCTGCAATTGATAGGGCTGAACCAGCCTAAAGCCAGGAGCTCCATCCGGTCTCCCACATGGGTGGCAGGGGCCCAAACACTTGGGCCATCTTCCGATGCTTTTCCCAGGCCATTTGCTGGCAGGGAGCTGAATCAGAAGTGAAGTAGCTGGGACTTGAACCTGTGCCCATATGGGATGCCAGTGTCACAGGTGGTGGCTTTACCCACTATGCCACAAAGCTGGCCCCTTCCTTGGCTCTTGTAGGTACTAGCAGTCTCATCAGTCGTCTTTTTCATGCAATATCTACCAAGGAGTTGCGGCCTTTCCAGATATTCCCTGCAGAACTAATGAGGGATTTCATCCCACAACTCTTTGAGAAACTTTAAATACAGATCAAACATGAAGTAATATATACCCCAGGGGAAATCTGACCTTCTGTAGCCAGGGAGACAGAACTTGAGTCTCTGTACCCTCACAATATTGAATGTCTTTTCTTGCTTCATTTTAGGTTACCTCATCCAAGATTCATACTATCTACTATAGGACTGCCTAAGAACTCAGGACTGGGCCGGCATTGTGGCACAATGGGTTAAGCTACTCATTGTGACTCCAGCATCCCATATCAGAGCACTGGTTACAGTCCTGGCTGCTATAATTCTGATCTAGATCCTGCTAAGGCACCGGGGAAATCAGCAGAAGATGGTCCAGGTGCTTGGGCTCCTGCCACCCACACAGACCAGGATGGAGCTCTTGGCTCCTGGCTTCAGCCTGAATCAGCACTACCTATCGCAGCCATTTGGGGAATGAATGAGCAGATGAAAGATCTCTCTCCATCTTTCTCTCTTTCTGTCACTCTGTCTTTCAAATAAATACATAAAATATTAAAAAAAAAAACCTTATGGGGCTGGCGCTGTGGTATGGTGGGTACAGCTGCCACCTGCAATGCTGGCATCCCATATGGGCACCGGTTCAAGACCTGGCTGCTCCACTTCTGATCCAGTTCTCTGCTATGGCCTGGGAAAGCGGTGGAAGATAGCCCAAGTCTTTGGGTCCCTGCACCCATGTGGGAGACCTGGAGGAGGCTCCTGGCTCCTGGCTTTGGATCAGCGCAGCTCCAGCCGTTGTGGCCGATTGGGGAGTGGACCAGTGGATAGAAGACCTACCTCCCTCTCTCTCTCTCTCTCTCTCTCTCTCTCTGCCCCTCCTTCTCTGTCTGTGTAACTCTGACTTTCATGTAAAATAAATAAATCTTTAATAAAAAAAAAAAAAGAAAACTCAGAACTCTGCTACAAACCTTCTGCCAAAGCTCCACAAATCTTAACTATTGTTTCCCAAATTCTTCCATTCTCTATTAGATACCCTTTAACTTCTGGTCAATGCCACAGGTAACATTTATCCTGATATATTTAGTCCCATTTATGCAGAAATGTTTCTTTCCTAGCATACCCTCTACCTCTGCATAACACATCCATATGCTCATGTTAACTGCAGCTTAGACCGGACACCTAAAATGGCAGTAGCATCCCACCTTCTGTCTTCACTTTGATATAAACTGGAGGCAAACGAAATGCTGTCACTGACAGAGTATCTTAATGAAGATGAAAGACTCACATGGACAGGCATTGAGGCCAGAGTACCTAGCATAGAGACTATAAGTGAAACCCAAACATAAAAAATCAAATGCTTAGGATAAATCCTTTGCATATATCTCTTCTTTTATAACCAGTAGAACGAGGTTTTGTTGCTGACGTGATAGCACCAACACTCCATATTTCACAGATTTTGCCGACAGCAGAACTGTGGTGGAATGAGAAGGCCATGCCAAGGTGGCTGCTGGCAAGCGAGTGTCAGTTACTCAGGAATGGCTTTGAAACCCACCTGGCAACGGAGCCTTCCTGGCAACAGGCTGTAATTGGATGGATTTGAAACCCACATGGCAAATGGAGCCTGCCTGGCAACAGGCTGTGATTGGATGGCTTTGGAAACTGCCTGGCAACAGGCTGTGATTAGTTGGGGCATAGACCGCCCCTTGACCAGATTGGCTGGTCTTGGCCATATAAGATGTTGTACCAACTGAAGTAAACGAGTTTGCGGGCTGCCTGCCTGAAGCCCACTTTCACCCCACTCCTGGGGTCTGTGTGGTGACTCCCTGCCTCTTTCCCCCACCACCCACACTCCTCCTCTCAGAAACGAATCCACTACAACATTGTTGAGAAATCAACTGCAACACAGAACAAGTTCTGCCTAAGAGCCTCAACCTTTTCTTGGGTGGTTCATTATTATGAGCTCCTGACCCACCATCACTAAGTCATATGCTCTACAACCTTTCCTCAAAACGGTAACATATTGAGCCATCTACATTTTCTGTTATACTGTGACAAAGCAGATAACAGGCAGATTCTGGATCTAGAACCACCTGAGTTGAAACCATGCCTTAGCTGCTTGTTGTGCGATCCAAAGCAAGTTACTTAAAATTACATGTTTATCAATAAAAAAGTAGGCAGAAGCCTAAGACAGAGTTCCTGACTCCCTGATATATTTTTTCTACCCAATTCCCAGGAATGTGATTATAACAGATCTTATTCTCATGATTAGGTTGTTGCATAGCAGTTGACCTTAATTAGGGAGATTTTTCTGGGTGGGCTTGGCCTAAACAGAAGAGCCTTTTAAAAATCAAGAGTTCTGGGGCTGGCGCTGTGGCGCAGTGGGTTAACGCCCTGGCCTGAAGCGCTGGCATCCCATATGGGCGCTGGTTCAAGACCCAGCTGCTCCACTTCCTGTCCAGCTCTCTGCTATGGCCTGGGAAAGCAGTGGAAGATGGCCCAAGTCCTTTGGCCCCTGCACCCACGTGGGAGACCCGGAAGAGGCTCCTGGCTTCGGATCCACGCAGCTCCGGCCATTGCAGCCATTTGGGGAGTGAACCATCGGATGGAAAACCTCTCTTCTCTGTGTGTGTGTGTAACTCTTTCAAATAAAATAAATCTTCTTTTAAAAAAATCAAGAGTTCTCCCCACCCTGGAAGTCAGAGATGCAAAGCATCACAAGGTTTCATTGTGTCACTGCTGGTTCTGAGACGTAGGATCCCTGGGATCTCTTAGGAGCTAACAGCAACAGCCCCCTGGCCAACAGCCAAGTCCACAGAAACAAGAACCCCAGTCCCACAACTATAAAGAACCAAATTCTGTCAACACCAGAAATGAGCTTGGAAGCTGTTTCTTCCCCTCAGAGACTCCAGATAAGAGCCTGACACCTTCATTTCAGCCTAGTGAGATCCTAAGCAGAGAACCCAGCCAAGTATACCTGGATTTCTGACCCATAGAACTGTAGGCTAATCAATTGGTATTGTTAAACATCACTGTTTGTTGAAATGAGTTACACAGCAATAGAAAGCTAATACAATAAGGATACAGCAATTGCTCAAATGTGAGCTTTCCTTATTACTCATTAGGATCAGCTGCACAGGTGTGAGAAGGCTGAAGTACAATTAACTGTGCAAGTCTAGCAATGCAATATATGGCCTTCAGAACCAAGGTCCATTTGTTCTACATGGCTGATAGTAGGTGTTTTTCAAGGGGAGACACATTATTGGTATTTGAAGGGGAATAGGATTCATTGTGTAGTACTATCCTGCACTTGACAGTCCACTTACCATCCCCAGCTCCTCTTTCCCCAGTCATTGCAAAAACACTCCTGTACATTTCTAAACACCCTCTCCCAGAAGGAGTAGCTCTAGATTGAGACTTCTAAGAACCACTGTGGGGGCCGGCACTGTGACGTAGTGGGTAAAGCCGCCGCCTGCACTGCCAGCATCCCATAGGAGCACAGGTTCGAGACCCCGGCTGCTCCACTTCCAATCCAGCTCTCTGCTATGGCCTGGGAAAGCAGTAGAAGATGGGCCAAATCCCTGGGCCCCTGCACCCTCGTGGGAGATCCGGAAGAAACTCCAGGCTCCTAGCTTCGGACTGACTCAGCTCCAGCCATTGTGGCTGATTGGGTAGTGAACCAGCAGATGAAGACCTCTCTCTCTCTCTCTGCCTCTCCTTCTCTGTGTAACTCTGACTTTCAAATAAATAAATAAATTTTCAAAAAAAAAAAAAGAAGTTAAAGATCTTGGGGCCTGTGTTGTGGCATAGCAGGTTAAGCCACTGCCTACAGTACTGGCATCTTATATGGGCACAGGTTCGAATCTTGGCTGCTCCATTTCTTTTTTTTTTTTTAAGTTTTTATTTATTTATTTGAGAGGTAGAGTTACAGACAGAGAGGAGAAGCAGAGAGAGAGAGAGAGGTCTTCCATCCACCAGTTCACTCCCCAAAAGGCCGCAATGGCTGGAGGTGTGCTCATCTGAAGCCAGGAGCCAGGAGCCAGGAGCCTCCTCCGGTCTCTACATGGGTGCAGGGGCCCAAGGACTTCAGCCATCCTCTATTGCTTTCCCAGGCCATAGCAGAGAGCTGTATGGGAAGAGCAGCCTGGACTCAAACCGGCACCCATATGGGATGCCGGCACTGCAGGCAGCGGCCTTACCTGCTACGCCACAGCACTGGCCCCGCTGCTCCACTTCTGATCCAACTCTCTGCGATGGCCTGGGAAAGTAGTAGAAGATGGCCCAAGTCCTTGGGCCCCTGCATCCACGTGGAAGAAGCTCCTGCCTCCCAGCTCTGACCATTGCAGCTATTTGGGGAGTGAACCACCATTTGGAAGATCTCTCTCTGTGTCTCTCTGCCTCTCTCTAACTCCGTCTTGAAAATAAATAAATCTTAAAAAAAAAAAAGAACCACTGTGAGAAATTTTATAAGAAAACAAGGTTGTCCTAAGTGTTGTCATAAAACTACCTCAATAACTACAACAATACCCAAATTGCCTGATCCTAAGAATCAGCAAGGAGGGGCCGGCACTGTGGTATAGTAGGTTAAGCATCAGCCTGTGGCATTGGTATCACATATGGATGCCGGTTCCAGTATCAGCTGCTCCACTTCCAATCCAGCTCCCTGCTGATGGCCTGGGAAAGCAGAAGATGGCTGGCCCAAGTCCTTGGGCCCCTGCACCTGCATGGGAGACCAGGAAGAATCTCCTGGCTCCTGGCTTCGGACCTAGCCAGCTCCAGCCATTGCAGCCATCTGGAGAGTGAACCAGTGGATGGAAGACCTATCTCTCTGTCTCTCCCTTTCTCTGTAACTCTGCCTGTCAAGTAAATAAAAAATTTTTTAAAAAATCACCAAGGACTCTTGTTTAAAAATAAGGACTCCTAAATTCCTTCCCTGGAATCTCATTCCATATGCCTTGGTGAAGCTCAGGAATCTCTATTTTGACTTAAACATCCCAGATCAATATTTTGTTCATGTTAAGTTTGGAAAATACTAGGTTAGAAAACATAAGCCTACTTCAAAAAGTTCGTGGAAAATAGAATTAAAAGTATTTTTGTGCAAAAAATTCTATGCATAAGAGGCGAATCTTCAAAAAGCTCATGAAAATGTATATTATAAAAATAAAACTATGGGGCCATCACTGTAGTGTAGTAGATTAACCATTTGCCTGCAGTGCTGGCATCCCATATGGATGCCAGTTCGAGTCCCGGCTGCTCCTCTTCTGATCCAGCTCTCTGCCATGGCCTGGGAAAGCGATGGAAGATGGTCCAAGTCCTTGGACACCTGCAACCACGTGAGTGACCTGTGAGAAGCTCCTGGCTCCTCGCTTTGGATTGGCCCAGCTCCAGCCATTGCAGTCATTTGGGGAAAGGATCAGCAGATGGAAGATCTCTCTCTCTCTCTCTCTCTCTCTGTGACTCTGCCTTTCAAATAAATAAATAAATATTTTAAAAAGTAAAGCTATGCATGGATTTCAAAAAATTTGGGGCACCAAAATGAACTTATCTTTTAATTTCATTTTCCCAAGAACTGTTTGAAGTACCCTGGTATATTTGGCCATATGTGTACTTAGCAAAAGTTCACCATACTGGGAACAACAACTCATACCAAAACTCTTTGAAACCGGCATTACAGAGCTGTAAATCTTGTTTGGGACTATTCTATTTCACAAGGTGTTCTTTTGGTCACATAGTGATTCCATAAGGAAATTGAGTCATGGGAGTGAAAACTTTCTATCTTCCAAAATTTTATATATTTGCCAGAATTACTTCTTGAAATGACATGTTCAATGTGTAATGCAGCACTTATTCACCTTTTAAAATACTTCTCATTTTGCAAGCAAGCACACTTCTAATACATGTGCAGCAAACACGTCAAATTCTGTGGCTATTTTACTGCCTCTGTTTTTCGGGAGACAGCAAGTTCTCTCTGGATCGTGCTCTTCGCTCCTCGTTTTTTCCTCCTCTAGCTCTGTACTTTTCGGGTACCTTCCTCTGGGTTTCCTCCAACCCGGGCAGGGTCTGCCTTTCTGGGAGTTAGCATCTCGCCTTTGCAGCACACCGTATCCCAGGAACGCAGGCACCCAGAGTGTGTTATCACCGCTCCATGTTTTCTGTTGTTTGCAATACTCTGCCTGTCAATATCCCCTGCGACACCGCCCCTCCAACCTAGCACATGGACCCTAGGGTTACGTCTGTTCTTTCCATAAAATCGCCACTCCTTTTAGAGTAGACTTAGAGCGCCGCTCGTTCTCCCATTCTCTTGACTGGCGCGCCTTTCTTTCCCCCACCTCACTCCGTACACCCAGTTTTAGCAAAATATAATGGCCCGAAAGAGGGCGGCACTAAAATGAAGTTATTCGTTACCACGGTAACTGCCGCCGCCATCTTCGCGGTGGTCGACCAGTATTTCTGTCAGCCTTAAAGAAAATAAACCAAAAAGAATTTCGCAGACTAAAAACTTTTAGTTTAACCTCCCCTACACGAATCCTACTCCGGAAAGAGTTATTCTCAGGCTGCAGCCACCCCACAGCTTTAGTTCTCGCTTGGACGTGCCGAGCGACAGAAGCTGACGGAATGACGCTAGGGGGCGGAGCCCTGCGTCCGCCACGCCCAGGCGCTCTCTGCTCACGCGCCGTAGGGAAGCGTGGTCGGTGCTGGGCACGCGCGCTGTACGGAAGTGTGCTTAGGTGCACCGGAAGCCGCAGGAAGAGAGCGATGGCGGGTTTGACTGTTAGAGACCCTGCGGTGGATCGTTCTCTACGTTCTGTATTTGGTGAGAGGAATTTGATTGAGCCAAACGTCGGGGAGGGACGCTCCCCCGGCACCCCCACCCTTCTTGAATCGCCACTGGAGCTGTGGCGCTCTACCTATTCTGTGGGGCGGCCAACTGGTGGACTCGTGGGCAGAGATGCGCCCCTTTTCCTGAGGTTTCACAGGCTTTGCGCGGTATCATTGAGGAAGTTAGACTTACGTTCAGCTTTTATGCGTTTCTCCTTTTCGGAGCTTCAATTATTGTCTGAAAGAGAGGGCTCATGGCTACAGCCCGTTGCTGTCCCATAGTACTTCTCACCCCCGTCCCAGAATATAGATTATATGCTGAGTGTACAGATACCTGTGTCCACTTCCCCGTCCTCTAAAGAATTTTCATTCTTTGCTTCTTCCCTGTAACGTTTTAGTGCAACCAGCCACCTGTGGTCCTGAAATGGATTCTAAGTAAATGAATGAATAACAATTAAAATCGCCTCAGAGGAATTTTAAAGAGGACCAAAACTATTCTGAGTAATTTTCTTCGACTGGAATAAGTTGTTTAAAAAAAAAAAAACACGTGTAATAATTTTTAAAGCACGTTTTGAAAGAGGCAATGACAAAACAGTTTTTAAACATCCTCTGTTAGAATCGTGGTCATTCTTCCTTAAGGGCGTTTATGTGTGAAAATACTTACATATGAAACTGTTTTTTAAATTGTATATAAATATTTTAGTAGCTATTGACGAGACTTGCAGAACTTCAGGTAAATACCAAAGCCTAAATAGTAACTTTCACCAACAGTTAAGGAAAAATCTAACACTGGGCAGATCTGTGAGCTTACATTCATCAGTATCTATACCTTTTGCATTTAGTCTCACTGGTTGATTCACTTGTTAAGAGGCCTGAAAAAGTGCAGTGGAATTGGGAGTTGGAGAACACTATTTTGAGACAGATGTTAAATAGTCAGTGACATAAGTAGACACTGTGCTTTTTCACTAAAGGTCTGCATACTCTGAATTTTAGTATTACCTGTTTTCTTCCCTAGTGGGAAACATTCCTTATGAAGCTACTGAAGAACAATTAAAGGACATCTTTTCTGAGGTTGGACCTGTTGTTAGTTTTAGGTGAGACTTCCTTTTACTTCTTATGAGAATTTCTTAAAAATCCCAGCAAATCTGACTTTTAGTAATAATAGTAGGGTTTTTTGTTTGTTTTTCAAACTGGTAACTTTCCACATGCATTTTATTTCTTAGCAACTTTATCAATATATAACTAACTATATAATTCACATTCATTCTTACCTAAAAGGTGCTTTTTTTTTTTCTTAAAAAATGTTTTAAGAGGGGGCCAACATTGTGGTGCAGTGGGTTAAGCCACTGCTTGCAACACTGGTATCCCATTTTGGAGTGCTGGTTTGAGTCCTGGCTGCTCTGCTTCCTGCTAATGTACCTGGGAATGCAGTAGAAGATGACCCCTGCCACCTGTGTGGGAGACCAGGATGGAGTTTCTGGCTTTTTCCTGGCCCAGATCTGACTATTAAGGCCATTTGGGGAGTGAACCAGTGGATAGAAAATCTCTTTCTTCCTGTCTGTCACTCTGCCTTTCAAATAAATAAATAAATAAAATTTTTAAAAATACTGTAATGAGAGTTACAAGGTTATTTAAAGTGAGCTGAATCAGAGCATGTCAATATTAGCAGAAATACTGCATGTTTCTGATACCTGCTTCTGCTCTCTAGATTGGTATATGATAGGGAAACAGGAAAGCCAAAGGGTTATGGCTTCTGTGAATACCAAGACCAAGAGACAGCACTTAGTGCCATGCGGAACCTGAATGGACGTGAATTCAGTGGGAGAGCACTTCGAGTGGACAATGCAGCCAGTGAAAAGAACAAAGAAGAGTTAAAGAGTGAGTATAAACCCAAATTGTATACAATAAGAGTTATGAATAATATAACAATACAAATATTCTGTTAATCATATGTTTTAGAATATTTTGAAATGGTTAGACATACAGTTTCTTAATCTACCAAGGTGCCTCAGTTAGGGAAGTATGTCTTTTGAGAAAAAAAGGTAAAATTGACTTTAGAAACCCTTTAGTTGCCAAGGAGTTTATTTTGAGTTAAAGAGGAGTTCAGGTTCACCAAGCTACTAGTAGTGCTAAGCGTGTCATAGTAATAGATCCAGGAATTCTGTTTTGAAATAAGCATCTTTTTCTATTTAAACCTTTTGTTTCTGAGATGACTTGTGAAGAGAAGTCAATATACCTAGTTCTCTAACTTTTGTCCATCTATGTGTTCGTGGCCCCAGCTTTCCTTTGAGAACATTAAATATGCTCTCACTTTTTTCCATAGAAACGAGATTTTCAAACCACTTATTTCTCAGCTTCAGAGACTCTGTGGTTATCCACTGGCCCAAACAGCAGTCCTGGGAAGTAGATACTTGGGATGATTTAGCTTTTTATTTTGTCTCCCTAACTTCTTGTACTTTTTTCCCAATTAGGCCTTGGCACTGGTGCCCCAGTCATTGAGTCACCTTATGGAGAGACCATCAGTCCTGAGGATGCCCCTGAGTCCATTAGCAAAGCAGTTGCCAGTCTTCCACCAGAGCAGATGTTTGAACTGATGAAACAAATGAAGGTGGGAGGAGGCATTAGGTTGTGGATAAAGAATTTACATCAGATTTTCAAGAAGTTAATTGATAAGTTAATAGAAACCATTCCCTGAGCTCAAATGGAACTTGAGTCCATAGACCAGTATTTTTAGCACCTTCAATAGTCCATGTGTACACAGTATATTTACTTTCTGCCAAGAACTTTTCTATTTTTGTATACAAACCCATCTGTTCAATCTACTGGGGTTTTGTGATCTGTAGATATCAAATACAGATATTTAAATGTGACTTTTTTGCTAAATGACAATATTACTAGATTTGAAATGCCTCTTCCTTCTCTTAACTGCCATGACCCAGACTTTGTGTGCCATGCAAAAAATCCATGATAACTTAAAGAGCCTCTTGAATATTATCTTTCTCAGATGGGAAGGTTCTAAATCACTCCCCATTTCCAAGTAATGAATACTGAACCTGATAATGGATTTGCTTATCTTCTCAGCTCTGTGTCCAGAATAGTCCCCAGGAAGCACGGAACATGTTACTTCAGAATCCTCAGCTGGCATATGCTTTGCTGCAAGCACAGGTAGTGATGAGAATCGTGGATCCAGAGATTGCCCTGGTGAGTGCTTCTGTTTCTTTTATGGAAATGGTAGGGCAAACTTTGAGTGGAATAGAGCTGCCTGATTGCTTTGTTAGACAGTTCACGGGGTTGTCTTTTCCCTTTTTAGAAAATTCTGCATCGCCAGACAAATATCCCAACACTGATTGCAGGCAACCCCCAACCAGTCCATGGTGCTGGACCTGGCTCTGGATCCAGTGTATCGATGAACCAGCCAAATCCTCAGGGCCCTCAGCCCCAATCTTTGGTAGGACTTTATCCCTTCACATTTCTTCTATCTGTCTGTGAATGTCGTTTTCTTTTTAGGAGAAAGTATTGAAAAGGAGTGGTTAGGAACCAGAGGTGACACTTGGCAATTTCCAGGTTTCAGAACACATGGATTCTGAATGCATAAAGATTTAATTTCAATTCTGTGAAATAAAGAGATCCTTCCTTTATTCCCATTTCCTATAAGCTAACTTTGTATGTATGCCAGATATACATGTTGTATAAAGTGGTTAGTGCCTCATTCCATGTATATGATCATGCTTATCTTCACAGTGCTTATATGAAGGTAACATTCTTAATTTTTTTAAAGGTTTGTTTGTTTGCAAGACAGAGTTACAGAGACAGAGGGAGACAGAAAGAGAGAGAGAGATCTTCTATCTACTGGTGCACTCCCTAAATGGCTGAATGAAACCAGGAGCCTGGCACTCCGTGGGTAGCAGGAGCCCGAACACTTGGGCCACCTTCTGCTTTTCCAGGCACATTAGCAGTGCATCAGAAGTGTAGCAGCCAGGACTCAAACCAGTACTCATATGGCATGCTGGTGTTGTAGCTGCCCTCTTAACTTGCTATACTATAACACCAGCTCTGAGGTTAATACTCTTACTATCTCCTTTATCAATGAAAAAAAAGCTCACTTTCCAAGTATGATACGAAATCCTGAAGACATAAACAATTGATATATTTGAAGAATGAAAAATTTCTGTACAGAGAAACACCAAAGAAAAGTAACAAATTAGGGAAAAGTATTTGCCACACATACAATAGACAAAAGGCTGATTACTTAATAAAGAGCCTTTAGTGATGTTTAAAAAATGTTTTTTGCTACATTATAATAGCAAAAAATTGGAAACATCCTAAGTGTGTATCAGTGGAAGAATGGAGAAAATGTGTATTTATCCAGTGGAAAACTCTACAACAGTTAAACTGTATGTATCAACATGGATGATTTTCTTTTTTTTAAAACATGGATGATTTTCAAAAACATAATTCCATAAAGCAGTAAGATGAACTAGGAAATGAGACATCAAAGACATCAACACAGATAACTAAAAAACATAATACTATATAGAAGTGAAACTATGAATGTGAAAGCATTCTAAAAATACAGGGTATATGTATCTACATAAATTTCCAAAAATAAATCCCAAAGATATGTTGAATAAATTAACAAAAGAATATATTCAGTATGTAGTGGTTCATATAAAAAGTTGAAACATCAAAGGCTACCGTTTGGCCTAGCAATTAAGCTGCCGATTGGGATGCCTGTATTACACATTGGAGTGTCTGGGTTCAATTGCAGGCTGCAGGTCCTGATTGCAGCTTTCTGCTAATGCAGAACCTGGGAGGCAGTGGACCTGTCTCAGGTGATTGGGTCCCTGCCACCCATGTGGGAGACCTAGATTGAGTTCCCAGCTCCCAACTTTGGCCTTGCTCAGGCACAGCAGACGACTGGGGAGTGAACCAGTGCATGGGAGCGTGAGCAGTCACCCTTCCTCTACTTTTCCCTCTCCCTATACCTCTTTCCCTCTCAAAAAAAGTTTAAAAATGCTTGTCTAAGAAGAGGATACAACATAAAATTGGGAAAGACCATACAGGGGATTTTGATTGCATTTATAATTTTATTTTCCTAAGTTGGGTGATTATTTTCTTGTGACTTATGTATCTGCAATTTTTTATAATAAAAAACCTATAAATTAGTTAGAAAATTACTAGTAACCCAGTAGAAACTGGGCAGGAGACATACATAGTTCACAAAAGTAGAAATATAAAGGTATGGAAAAGTATTCAAACTTAAGATAAAGATAAATATAAATAGAAACTATACGATTTTTTACTTATCAGACTGGCAGAGCTAAACAACTTGGGTGGATTGTACATTTTCTGTAAATTCCCAGATAGTAAATAATTTTGGCTTTGCCGGTCATAGGATCTCTGTCACAACTACTCTGCCATGCTAATGTGGAATCAGTCATAAACAATACCTAAAGTATGTGTGGTTGTGTTCCAATAAGACTCTAGAGAAAGAAAGGAGTAAACTAAGACCCACAGAGATTAACTGGTCCAAAATTAACACAATTGAAAGTGACAAGTCTAACATCTAAGTCTGATTTTGTTTGACCTCATAGCCTATTTACTCTTATCCATCTTCCTGTACAGTTCCCTCTTTTCTGCTTTAGTTTTGTTTGTGTTCTCTAAGTGTGTGTGTGATTTTTTATGGCTTAGTTTTTATTCTTTATTTATTGGGTTCTTTATTCAAAGGTAGTGCTCAGTTCTCTAAAGAGTACAGAGATGAAAATATAACATTCTCTTTCCTCCAGAGAACTTTAAAATAGCATTAATAGGGCTGACAATGTGGCATAGTGGGCTAAGCCTCTGCCTGCAACGCTGGAATCCCATATAGGTGCCAGGAGGAGGTGCTCCTCCTCCAATCTAGCTCTCTGCTGTGGCCTGGGATGGCAGTGGAAGATGGCCCAAGGGCTTGGGCCCTTGCACCCATGTGGGAGACCTGGAAAAAGCTCCTGGCTCCTGGCTTTGGATAGGCCCAGCTCCAGCTGCTGCGGCAATCTGGGGAGTGAACCAGCAGATGGAAGATCTTTCTCTCTGTCTTTCCCTCTCTCTGTAATTTTTTTTTAATTTTTTATTATTTATTTGACAGGTAGAATTATAGACAGAGAGAGAGAGACAGAGAGAAAGGTCTTCCTTCTGTTTGTTCACTCCCCAAATGGCCGCCACGGCCAGTGCTGCTCCGATCAGAAGCCAGGAGCCAGGTACCTCCCCCTGGTCTCCCATGCGGGTGCAGGGCCCAAGCACCTGGGCCATCCTCCACTGCCTTCCCGGGCCACAGCAGAGAGCTGGACTGGAAGAGGAGCAACAGGGACTAGAACCCAGTGCCCATATGGGATGCCGGTGCCACAGGTGGAGGATTAGCCAAGTGAGCCACAGCGCCAGCCCCCTCCTCTCTCTGTAATTCTACCTTTCAAGTACATAAGTAAAAAAATCTTTTAAAAATAGCATTAATAACATTTTGGTGTCTGTGTTGTGATGTAATGAGTTAGGCCTCAACCTGTGATGCCGGCATCCCATATTGGCACCAGTTTGATCCCAGCTGCAGAAGATGTTCCAAGTGCTTGGGCCCCTGCCACCCACATGTGAGACCTCGGTGAAACTCAAGTCTTTAAAAAAATATGACATTCCCCCCAGACCAGAATTATATCTGAGGACAGGAATGAGGGAAAATTTATCAAATTTAAAAAAGTTTTTTTTCCTCTTAAAAACAGGTGGCTAGGTTACTTTTTTAAAAAGTCCCAGCCTCTTTTTCCTCTTGTATTCAAGACACTTGTTGTTGTTGTTAATCTTAATGCCAGGCCCCAGTCATGAAGTTGACAACAGATGCTTCATGATGCCTTGCCACACAGATAAGGCTTATCAATTCAACTTGTAGAATATGTTGCATAGTAACTGTGTTCCATATAACCAGGCTCATGATATATATTACAGCTTGTTTCTGTGGAATTCAAAATGTGTGTTAGATCTAATGCCATGTAAGACATATTATACAAAAAGAACGTATGGTATCATACTTGGAGCTGTCAATTTGATGAACTTTAAAATCGCAGACTTAGTGTATTAAGTCTTCATGAAAGCAAGTACATACTGTGTTTTTTTGTCTTGATCAGGGTGGAATGCACGTCAATGGCGCACCTCCTCTGATGCAAGCTTCTATGCCAGGTGGTGTTCCAGCACCAGGGCAGATGGCCGCTGCTGTCACAGGACCTGGCCCTGGTTCCTTAGCTCCTGGAGGTAACTTTCATTTCAAGTCGACACCATTTCTGTACTTTGTTGAAATGTTGTCATAGCAACTGCTGCAGTGTAGCCAAAGTATTATGTGGTAATAGGATCTTGATATAAAGTTAATATAGGAGAGTACTTTAAAAAGTCCATGGAATTTGCATACTGTACAATTTGCACCAAAATCAAGTTATCTTTCAACTTCATTTTCTATAAACTTTTTGAAGTCCCCTCATACAGCTAGAAATTATATATCCCGGAGGAAGGAAATAGTTGATTTCTTATACACAAATCCTTAAATATCTGATTATATGGGACACTCAAGTGGAAACTTGGAGTAAAACTTCCAAATTAACAAGGGGGAAAATGAAATGAATGGAAGCTAAAACAAGCCAGAAAAAATTAAAGGAAAAGACAATGTAAAATAAGTAAAAATAAATGTAGAGTAAGATAGAAGAAATAAAAACTGGTTTAAGTTGTTATCCTGCTAAATGTGAATGAATTGAATTCTCCCACTAAAAGCTGAAAACTGTTAGATTAGGTTAAAAAGCTCATGAAGAAAACAGACACAAAGTACATAGTCACATGTGTTATGTTTAGCAAGTCTAAAATTGCATTTTAAAAAATACAATAAGACTAACCAACAAAAGAAATAAATTTGGAAACTCTATATTCATTGAAAGTATATAGGTGGACAATTAAGAATGTTGCTATTGAAGCCAGCATTGTGGCGTGGCTGGTAAAGCCACCACCTGTGACACTGGCATCCCATATGGGCACGGATTGGAGTCCCAACTGCTCCACTTCCAATCCAGCTCTCTGCTAATATGCTTGGCTTGGGCCCCTGCACCCACAAGGGAGATCCAGAAGAGGCTCCTGGCTCCTGGCTTCTGTCTGACCCGACTCTGGCCATTGCAGCCATTTGGGTAGTGAACCATCGGATAAAAGATCTCTCTCTCTTTCTCTCCCTCTCCCTCCCTCCCTCCCTCCTTCCCTCCTTCCTTCTCCCCGTCTCCCTCTCCCTCTCCCTCTCCCTCTTCCTCTCCCTCTCCCTCTCTACACCTCTGACTTTGAAATAAATACATAAATCTTTAAAAAAAACACAAAGAATATTGCTATTACAGTTAGCTTTTCTTTTCAAAAAGATTTTATTTTATTTATTTGAAAGGCAGAGTGACAGAGAAGAAAAGAGAGAAAGATCTTCCATCTGCTGGTTGATTTCTCCAAATGGCCACGATAGCTATAACTAGGCCAGGCTGAAGCCAGGACCCAGGAATTCCATCCAGGTCTCTCATATGAGTGGCAGGGGCCCAAGTACTTGGACCATCTTCTACTGCCTTTCGAGGCACATTAGCAGGGAACTGGATTAGAAGCATAAAATCCGGGCTTCAAACCAGTGCTCTGATATGGGTTGCCAGTGTTGCAAGCTACTGCTTAACCCAATGCACCTCAATGCCAGCCCCCCATTAACTTTTCACTGTACCTAAACACACTGAGTGAAATAGCAGTTCTTTATATGAAAGACCTGTGTGAACCCGAGTTATTTTCAACATTTATAGTTTTTTATGAATCAAACTTGCTTATTGGCTAATTTATCTAATATTAGATTGGCTGTACACTACTCATGAGAATAATGTAGATTACTCTGTTTTGTAGATAAATCAAGTCTACACAGCTAAGTTAACAAGGAATCGATTTTTAAAGAAATTTCTAAAACTCAGAATTTTCATTTATGCTCATTATCAAATTGAGTTGTAATTCTCTCTCAATGAAAGAAATAGGCTCAGCCTTTTATACATTTTTAAATTAGACATGTCTAGCATACCTTAAAAATATCTCAAGTTGTAATGCCCTGCACATGGCAAATATGCAACCCACGATATATGCAGGTTGTTACACAAGTTTACTTAGACTGGTCTATGCTTTGTTCAGTGAAACACGTGCACTGATCACACACTTCAATGTCACAGCATTTTCATATTGCTGTAAAATGTTTCTATGTGTCTGCAGTCCATTTCTGTACTTACCTTGTCATGAACTGTTAACATACAGTGTATAGATCAGCACCATTGGTGGATCACACTTCAAATAGCATTGTGCTAGTGGACAAAAAACAAGTAAGGACACTGAGACAGTAAACAATAGAATCAATAAATTTCATCCAGTACAGAGGGAGCTTTATATGGTTTTTTTTTTTTTTTTTGACAGATAGAATTAGAAAGAGAGAGAAAGAAAGGTCTTCTTTCCGTTGGTTTCCCCCCAAATGGCCGCCACGGCCAGAGCTACACCAATCCAAAGCCAGGAGCCAGGTGCTTCTCCTGGTCTCCCATGGGGTGCAGGGCCCAAGCACTTGGGCCATCCTCCACTGCCTTCCCGGGCCACAGCAGAGAGCTGGCCTGGAAGAGGGGCAACCGGGACTAGAATCAGCACCCATATGGGATTCTGGTGCCGCAGGCAGAGGATTAACCAATGAGCCACAGCGCTGGCCCCGCTTTATATGTTTTGACTAGAGAATACATCTTTTGCCCTCCCAAATGACAATGGGAAGTTTTTTGTTTTAAAAGACCATGTAAAAACATTAGCTGTAAAATAAAACCTTAACAAATTCAAAAGAAAAGATTATTTCATAGGCCACAGTCTTTGATTATAAGCCAATAAAGTTAGAGACAATTAAAAGGTGACTGAAAAAAATCTTTGCTTGGAAGATTAAGGAGCATACTGTAGGTCATCCCTGGATCAAAGGGGAAATAAAAAAATAAAATAATTATGAATTAACTAAAATATAGCAAAAACTGATATGTACATATATATGTTTTTTTGTATATATAATACAAAAAAGTATGGGTGGGGCCAGTGTTGTGGCAGGAGTGTGTTAAGACACTACTTGTGATGCTAGCATCCTGTATCATCAGAGTGCCAGTTCAAGTCCTGGCTGTTCTGCTTCTGATTTCAACCATCTGCTGATGTGCCTGGGAAGGCAATAGATGACCCAAAGTGCTTAGAGCCCTGTCACTCCAAATGGAGTTCCTGCTCCTGGCTTCAAAGCCTGTCCTAGACCTGGCTGTCGAAGCCATTTAGGGAGTGAACCAGAAAACAGAAGATCGATCTCTCTCTCTCTCTCTGTTACTCTGCCTTTCAAATAAATAATTTTTTAAAAAAAAAAGTATGGGAAACAATGAAGACAATGCTTAAAGGGAAATGAATACCCTTAAATTCCTACATTGCTAAAAACAGAAGAACTCTAAGAACTAGTTTTAAAGAATTAGAAAAATAATAAACCAGAAGGTACCAGGAAGAAGAAATTAATAAAGATAAAAATTGAAAGTAAGTGTAAAAGAAATTTAAATAATTGAATTTTTGAGTAATAATTTTTGTGAGTTCATAGCATTTATACTTCCAAATTTAAGCATGTGGCGCCGGCACACCGGGTTCTAGTCCTGGTCGGGGCACCGGATTCTGTCCCGGTTGCCCCTCTTCCAGGCCAGCTCTGTGCTGTGGCCAGGGAGTGCAGTGGAGGATGGCCCAAGTGCTTGGGCCCTGCACCCCATGGGAGACCAGGAGAAGCACCTGGCTCCTGCCATCAGATCAGCGCGGTGTGCTGGCTGCAGCGGCCACTGGAGGGTAAACCAACGGCAAAGGAAGACTTTTCTCTCTGTCTCTCTCTCTCACTGTCCACTCTGCCTGTCAAAAAATTTAAAAAAAGACAATTATAACATGTTACCCCTGATTTGTAGTAACTAATATATATTGTACAAAAATGTACTGTATGTGAGTAAAACTGACATTTTGAGATTTTATTAGTTTACAGCTTTTGTGTATACTCTCAAAGAACAGTCATTTTTCTACTTTCTACTTAGTTAATTCTTTATTTAGTTGGATGGATAAGCTTGTGATTATAAACTGAAAGTATATCATTGTAAAAATTACAAGAAAAAATAAGGAAGAGGGAGGGTAGCAAGTATCATTAAGCCCTTATATCTGAGTATATGAAAATACATTAATTTGTTCACCCATATATAAGTAAAAGCATTACTTTTAAATGTGCATTTCATAGAATAATGTTAAACAATGATGGGATCATCATATAAAGTTACTTCTGCCTTATTCCATTTTAATTTGAATATGTGGACTTTATTCATATCCTGTAGATATGTTATATTATGTCCTTTCCAAGCCATTACTGCATCTGGAGAAATCAGATAATACTGAGAAGTATAAATTTTTTATGGTGGTATGATAGGATATTAAAGATATTTGACCTTTCGTGCAAAATTCTTTGTCTTGATATATCACTGGCTAGGAGAAAATCAACCTT